GATGACAGATTCTGGGATGTTTCATCATTCACTGGGGGAGATTCTAGGGGATTTGTGATCCGTTTTCTTGTATTTACTCTTTTTGTAGGCCTGCGAGTGGCATGTGACCCATATTTTTGGGACTTCAGTGCTGAAGGCTCTCTGTTATCTTTTTCCTCTTCAGATCCTGGTGAGTTGTTTGCGGCAGAGCTGTGGCTCGACTTTGACTCCCTGTGAGTGTTCCTGCTGTCTTTACTGTGTCCTCGCTTCTTCCTCTTAATAGATAACTCATCATCTGATGACAGATGCTGTAATGTTTTAACTGAAGGAGTTTCTGGGGAATTTATGACAGCCTGTTTACTTTTAGATAATCTTGCTGAAGCACTACAGCTGCCCTGTGGCTGTTTTTGTGACCTCTGTGCTGAAGACTTTTCATTATCACTGTGGTGTTTTAGGACAGTGTCCACATGTAGTTCTCTTTCTTTAGCAGGACACTTTTGGCCAGACCTTGTTATTCTTCCTGCCCCCTCCTCAGGGCTCATTAGTAGCTCTGCAGCAGGTTCGAGAAAATCAGACTGATTCCTGTCTGGTTTAGCCTTGACTCTGTTGCGTCTGTGAAGAGGAGCCTTGACCTTCCTCAGTAGTACTGATGCCTCCTTTTCACCTAGGATCAGAGAACAGTTTTATGCAACATGTACTTTAAAATCTCACACTGCTATGACTAAAGCTCCAAGAGCGTCTTTACCTTCACTGCAGGGCAAGAACACACGGACGGGCTCCTGCGACATCCCTGTAGACAATGTTGTATTGACCTCCTGTGGAATATCAAAATGAATATAGTTGAAGTAACTCACCCTTAATTATAACACACACAAGCCCAACTTTAGGTGCTTACAGAGTTGCAGATGGAGGTATTATAACATTCATGGATGGTAACGTTCATGAACGCATCTAGAATGACGCGCCCTCCTTTCCAGTACTCCAAAGGTGGTTTGATTACTCGACCGCTTCGAGACACTTTCATGCTAGAGGAGGGGGCACCCATGGGAGGGCAGGAGTCAGCTAGAGAGAATTAACAGAGAAAGTAAAATTACTTTATTGTAAAAACAAAAACAACAACAATTTATTCATGCCCCCAAATCCACTAAAAACAAACAAACAAACAAAAAAAAAAAAACACGTCACCAGGTTTGTATCGTGTACTTACATGTCATAAAGGAAGTTTGCTGGTTCAAAGAACTGTTGATGAGGGAGGCCTCCGATTTTTTCTTCGATTTGATACCACTACTTTCACTTTTCTTCTGTCTTCCTCTGCCTTGGTTGCTACAGGAAAACAAAATTTAGGTCTTAACCAAGCCCAAAGGTGTAAAACAATCAATCTAGACAAATTATACAAAAAATAATTAATTTAGTCACAATCCCCCTGCAAAAACAAACACAATATATTGAACGCAAGAGCAGGGATGTGAAATTAGTGTTCTTACTCTCTCGACTCTGTCAGCATCTTGTTGTAAAGCGCCTTCCAGTCAGGAGGAAAACCCTTTTCAAACTTTTTCAAAAACCACCTGGGAAACTCTGGGAAAAAAGAAAGAGTAAATCCATGTAATACCATGCATAGGACTCTCTCTATACAGCTTTGCTTCATCCTTTTATCCATTTTTAATTTCTTCCCACGCACAATTGGAAAAAGGTTCAAGTCAGCTTACCGGATTCAACTTTCAAGTTCATCTTCCCAACCAGGATGTAAACCCTGCCGGAGACGGTCTTTATCATAGAATTAGAAACCCTGTGCATGATGACGTTACTGTTCCATGGTATGTTGTCTTCCCTGGGAGGAAATGACCAGCAGTTAACTATGAACCTCATAAAAATCTTTTGGATGAAACCAAAAAAATGTCTAAGTCTAATGTCTATCAAATGAGAAAAGCAACCTGACATCATGTCATTCTCCTCATTCACAAAGTTCAAAATTACATCAAACAACACTTACTCGTGGATTCCATCAACAAAGAGGCCCTTGCTGTTCTTCCTCAGGAACCACTTTTTGAGATAAATCACACTCTCCTACCAAAGGAGGGAAACAAGGGGACAATGATGAACCAGAGAAAACTTGTATAGGGAAATGCAAACTGCCGCTGACCTACTTTTTCAATTTGCTCTTGAAATGTAAATGTATCAGTAACTGTTTTTCTTCAAACAGCTGGAGTTTTCAGGCTCAACCGACACAAGGCCTGCCATTTGTTCACTTATATTTCATTAAGAGGCATTTGTTTTACTCACGCTGGGGAATGTTGCTTGCTTAGGCCACTTGTTGCACTTGAACACAGTCTCTTGTCTCTTCGGAATCAAGATCTTCGGAGAATTGAGCACGAGCGGGTCTTCGAGCAAAACGGGCTTCGACGACACAGCCGAGGTCAGAGCGTCAGCTGAGTGGCAGTCAGCTGACTCTGATATGTGCCGGCTTACAGGAACATCACTTTCTGAGGTGTTTGTAAACACACTGTCGTCCCTCTCACCAACACTGTGAGGTGTGGAGAGAGGGCTGTCTCCGGACTTAAGGGAGTTACCTATGGGAAAGATATTGTGCCATAAGCAAAGGTGTGTTGTGCACAGTGACCTGGGAAAACTCAAACTATATCTATAGAAACTGCTTAAACCGGATGTGCTGCTTTTTTAACACCATGGCACACTCACCTGCATTAAAGATGTCCCTCGTGGTATTGATAGCTTCACGAACTCCCCGCAGTTCCCTTTTGCTTTCTCTCTCCTTCATATAAGCAAACATCTTAGCTGGAGACATTATAGGAATTTTTTCCAAAACAACACCACAGCCTGTTTCAAAACAGAAGAAATATTTTATTATTATTCTATTGTAGGCGTCTACCAGGTGATTTCTATACACCTCTATATTCTGATGTAAGGTGGGGAAAGGCAGGAAAAAATGTCTCACGTCTCTCTGCCACGGATTTTCTTGGTGTGAACATGTCTTCGGGGATCCTCTCTGGTTGGTCAGTGGAGCATCCTCTGATGTTCATCCAGGTGCTGTGGGTGTTCTCCTCGCTGAGAGCAGGGGCTTTCCTCTGCCGAGGCTGACATGCGAGTTCATTTCTCACCTCCTCAGTGCTGTTGGTGTTGACTTTGTTAAACTCCTGCTGCTCCCATTTTCTCTTCCTCAGCCTCTTCACCATGGGGGAAAAGGTACTGGCTGTAGACAGGGGTTTGTGGAGAGGAGCGCATTCTTCATCAGAAGCAATGCTCTTGCAGTCACTTTCGACAGGTTGAACCTTCAACGGAGTCGTGCTGGAGAGGATGAACTGATCCGCGTCTCTGACCTGAGGAGGTTCTTTGTGGATATGATTAGTCAGAAAGAGAGGGTGAGATACGGCTGTCGACTCCAGGAAACGTCTCTCGCTTCTTGTGCATCCAAGTCCCATTTCAACCACTGGAAGCGTTTCCTCCAAAGGTTTGCGGATAAAGTCTGAATACGAATACGGAGAGGTTTTCTGTGGACTCTTAATGGGCGAGAGAATCAAAGGCTGGGCTTCGTTGCCGAACATCTGATTCTCATCGAACTCCTCAGTCACCCAGATCCTCTGCTGCTGCTTCCTGGGCGACTTTAAATTAACTCTGTACTCCTCTCGAGCGTTGTTCGGCGGACCGTTGTCGTCTTTTGCGCACATCGCTTCCTTTTGCACCTTGGATTTGAGCTTAGCAAAAACTTTGGCCGGAGATTCAAACTGCGGTTTTGTCTGTTGTAATAAATGAAAATACGAAGCCATGATTCTCGAGCTGAAGTTACCTGACTGTAGATCCGAGGCGTTAGCTAGCAGCTAACGAGCTAGCCCGCAAATTTTAAATTTCTCATCACCGCCGCCTTTGGCTCAAACCGTGTGACGTACTTTCACAACAAGTACGTCACTGCCGCTCATCTCTGGAGTTTTGTTTTTATGAATAAAACTTTATTTAAAAGTTTGAAAACGTATTCTTGCAGTCTGTAAGTTTTTTTTATTTTTTATTATTTAACACGAAAATACAAATAAATATGATACTTTTATTACTCACCAAAGGTTGAGCATGTAAAAAAAAAGTAAATAATAAATGGATAAACGAAGAACTATACATATATAATATTCAATATAATTCAATCTAAAAATGTCAATTAAATTTAAGACTAAAAAATGATAACCAGTGTAATATGACTTCAGAAAAGTAACTGATAATTAATTTCTTTATGAAGAATTTTTTAAAAAGAAGATGACTCTTTCACGTGATACATACAGAAAACATAAATACATAATGTGAATTTCTTTCCCTTTGTAATTTTCCAAAATAAAAAATTATATGTGCTGTTGAGTTGATATATATATAGCAATGTAATTGATATGTTTGTGTATTTTAACTTATATTTGTTCTTTATCATGTAGTTTAAATTATTAAATTCTTCTAGTTTTACACACACATTCTATTCTCTTTAATTGTAGCCATGTATTACTCTAACCACTTTCCATTTGTGGATAAGAGCTCCCCAAGAGTAAAATCACTTAACTTAAAGTCTTTATTTGCATAGCAAATAATATAAAAAGATATAGCTAATATTAGATTCAGACAGCTTTTCCTTAACTTTAAGGATTTATCTGTAAAAGCAATAATATTTAGGAAATTTTTATGTATTTAATTAATTTATATGTCATAATTCATAGGCCTAGCAACTTATCATACTTTCCATTGGTACTTGTACTTAAGGAGAATACTATAACGCAATTAGTATGCACAGGTCTTATTTATTGTACTCTTTTTATTGTACAGCGCTTTGTGACGGTTTTTCTGTAAAACGCGCTTAATAAATAAACTTTACTATCTTGATAACATGCATATACATGCAAAAATATGCAAAACCTGACCGTTTCTGTTGTAACTCACAGACAGTTTTGATTTTTTTTAACCCCTGCATTTTCTCCCCTGCAGAGGGCAGTAATGAGTAAAGAACCCACAAAAGTCCAGGGAGGAAAAAACAGCACCGAAGAAGAAGGTGCCTTACCACGCAGGCGCAATCTTAGTGACATTACCGTGTTGAGTGTGTTGTGCTAAAAATTAATAGGTGGAGAATATTTTTTTTGTATTTCCGTTATTCTGACTGGGCTAGATAACGGTGCACTTTAAATGAAGGCGCGTGAATAACAGACTGCTGCAAACATTGGGATATAAAGTGCTTTTTGGCTGCCTTCAAACCGACGTTGAGCGAGTAAAGTGATGCAACATGGCAGCAGCGGCTGCCAATAGGGGCTTTCTTTCAGCATTAAGGACTCAAAGTTGGGGTCAGACCCGAGGACTTAACTCGTTAGCTGAGAGGACAACCAGTCGTGTCTCTGCTGTGATATGTAACCATGAGGCTGCAGGAGGACACACAAGCCTGGACAGGAGAGCTCAAGCTGGGGAGAGAAGAAGAAGAAACGGTCGGGACAGCAACAGAAGCTCCTCTTTGCTCACCTCTGTGTCGGTGGGTTTGGGGCTCTGTGGTGCGGTGCTTCTGGACACTGAAAAAGACCAAAAGGGGGACAAAGAATTGGCAATATCCCGGGGATTTCTCCAGCACATCCTCCCATCGGCTCAGTGCGCTTCTCCCTTCAAACCAGACAGCCCCCGATTTAAGTACAACTTCATTGCAGATGTGGTGGAAAAATCTGCTCCAGCTGTGGTGTACATTGAAATCGTGGGCAGGTGAGTTAACTAGAGAGGTGCCATTGACGGTAATAAATGTCAGTGAGGTTTTTTTTCTGTGTCTGTGTGTGACTTACTCGGTTATGTTCCTAAATCAAGATTTCAGACAGCTGTGAGAGCACACACTGGAGATAAGCACTCAGTCCCAGAAGCTGATCTTGCTTGCCCGGACATGTACCAGAAAACACGAGAAAGGGGCTTGTTTGTTTGTTTGTTTGTTTGTTTGTTTTTGTTTTGTTTATTACAGATGTAACAGAAAAGGACCCAAAGCATTTGTGATTTTATTTTCAAAAAACATCATCAGCTGCTGATATACTTTAGCAGTGGATAGTCTTGTTTTTATCAGTAAGTGGAATCAGGTAAAGTCCTGACAGTCAGTCCCCACCTGTCACAATAACCGTTTACTGTGTGTGTTTAACTTGAGCAACAGTTCTCATAAAGGAGATCTGCTTTTACCTATTTCCAGTCCAGTCCTTTTACCTGACCTTTTTCCTGAAGAGTTTTTCTTTTTTCTTTTTATTGTTGGTTAAGCTACGTAATGCTGACTGATGAAGCTGAAGTAACATTAAAAAGGCACTTAACTCACTGGAGGAATAATGGACAACTTGCCTGAGAACCAGTTTTTGAATTGTGTTTTTAGGCACTTTGTTACTGCAGCTTGTCAAAAAAACACATAGTTTGTTTTTTTTTCTTTAACTGAATCTATGCAAAATGCCAAAGATAAGAGTTTGAAAAGCATGAAGTAGTATTTTTGAATCAAGATGACTCCAAAAAGGTATTAGCTGAAAAATATGTCTGTGAAGGTTCTCAGTCATCCAGGTCATCGTTGTCTAAGGAGCTTGCAAAGAAAAGCGTCTGGACTTCTTTAAGTTACTTGAAGACGTTTCACCTCTCATCCGAGAAGCTTCTTCAGTTCTAAGGTCAAATGGTGGAGAGTCCCAGATATAAACCTAGTGGGAGTTTCCCCCCACAGAGGGACAAAAGGACCCCCTGATGATCCTCTAATCACCTGAGTCAAGGTGTGAAACTGGGTGTGGGTCCCAATCAGCCAGAGTTTCGGGTGAGTTCATTGTGAAACCTGGCCCCACCTTATCATGGGCCAGGTTTCACAATGAACTCATTTTTGTCCACACCCAGTTTCACACCTTGACTCTGGGACTCTCCACCATTTGACCTTAGAACTGAAGAAGCTTCTCGGATGAGAGGTGAAACGTCTTCAAGTAACTTAAAGAAGTCCAGACGTTTTTCTTTGCAAGCTCCTTTGACTATTAGCTGAAAACATGACACATCTCAGCAGTGCGCCCTTAAAAAAATTGAGGAACCTGGAGAAGTGGAGGACGTTTCCTTTTTTCTTTTTTTTCTTTTTAAAGAAGAAGTGACAGGCCTGTCTAACAGTCTGTCTAAATGAAATTCAAAAGAAGACAAAATCCAGCAAAAACCTGACACAGGACCTGAGAGATGCATCTTTAAAACACAGTGCACTGCATTTCAGCCTGTGATGTTGGGGATGTCAAAATTTATGCAATCGCAAACAGAAAAGTAACGTCAGATCTTGATGCTACATGCTACATTACATCTGCCAATCCATCTTTTGATTGGTGACAGCTCTATTTTTTATTTTTTTTATTTTTTTTTCAGTATCACAATGATGTCAAACAAAATCAAGCATATCTGGATAGAAAAACAAAGACTATTCCTGAAAACTACAAAAATGATTACAAGAGAACTTAGTGTGTTGATGAATGAAGGTGATCACACCAAATATTGACTTTAAAACTAATTAGAACTGTACAAACACCGTTTTTGCCTCATATACCGTTACTCTATGTTTGCACATGTTTCAGTAAAAACAAGGAACTTATATTCCTTTTTCCTAGACACACATAAAGAAATGAGGGATGGCTCAAGACTTTTGCACAATACGGTATCTCCTGCCATATAAACTAACCCTGAGAAACCAGGGTCAGTAAGATAAGCTGCATTTACTTCTTTACAGACACCCGTTCTCAGGACGAGAGGTCCCAGTGTCAAACGGCTCCGGTTTTATCATCAGCAGCGATGGTCTCATCATCACCAATGCCCACGTTGTAGCCAACAAGCGAGGCGTCCGTGTGAAGCTCACCAATGGAGAGACGTACAATGCCATCGTGCAGGATGTCGACCCTGTGGCGGACATCGCCACCATCAAAATCTCTGCAAGGGTGAGCAAGAAAATACAGGCCAGTCTCAGTGAAAGGAGCTAAACTAGCATGTGTGCTTTCACCACAGACAGAGAAACACAGAGCTTTATTTCAGATGCTCTTTCTCTCCCCTGACATGCAGAACCCGTTACCCACTCTCACACTCAGCCAGTCGTCTGACATCCGACAGGGAGAGTTTGTGGTTGCCATGGGAAGCCCATTTTCGTTACAAAATACAATCACATCGGGGATTGTCAGCTCAGTGCAGAGAGGCAGTAAGGAGCTGGGCCTGTCCAACTCCAACATGGAGTACATACAGACCGATGCAACCATTGATGTGAGTACTTGAATAGAATATATTTAAACTGGATATGTTGATAGTGTATTTTCAGTGACTCAGGCGTCTCCTGTCGTGTTTCTAAATGCCACATTTGACTAATTGTTTTTCAGTTTGGAAATTCTGGAGGTCCCCTCATTAATCTGGTGAGTCACAAGTCCTGTTTGTGTGTCTCACTCTCACACACTCACACACTCTCTCTCTCTTTGTGATGCAATACAGTGGCAAAACCATTGCCTTGCAGCCTGTTTCCGATTGATGTATTCTAGTCTATTGAAGTGTTTATTTTAAGTCACACAGCATGCAGTGCTGGAATTAAAGTGCTCTCCAGTAAGTAGTCATAAAATGTGCCTTGATTTCAGCCACAGGTATATACAAACACATGCTGATTGGGCTAACACCACAGAAACTAAAACCATGATAATACTTTGTGTTTACTGAGCACACCCATTAAACACTCAGTGTCCTGGTGAAAGAAGTAAATCCTTTGGCCAAATGCCTCAGACCTAGATCCAACCTAGTCAACATTTACAAGGAATTCCAGACCATTTTTCCTTCCAGAGCTACTTCAGCAGAGCTTTATACATGCTGTACTTCACTTTACAGTGGCTCTCATTTGTTGGTAATAAAAACAAGTCTATACAAAAACACATTTAGTCATTGTGGTTCTATATACTCATAAATGGAACAAATACATGGCGTTAATGTAATGAAAATGGAAAGTACTAAAACATAATAACAAGGAATAATCTGCTGTAGAGCAGACACGTGCTGTAAAGGATTTTAATTATTTGTAATGTTGATCGGCTAATTTATACTGTGTGCGTGACCTTCACTGAGATACAATAAGAAAAGTTCTAATTTATTTTTTCAGATGTTTCCCAATTCTTTTGTTGCATCAGGTAAAAATGAGTTAAACGCAACAAACATAAAGCTAACATGTACTGTCTAATATAATAACACAAGCAGCCTTTAAAAACCTTAAAGATGCATATTTGTTGGTCAGTAATCCCTTTAAAATTCTCTCCCTTGACCCTTGAAAAATTTTGCTGGTCTTCAGCCTTCCTGGCATTTTGTATGATATAATCATAAACCTGAAACTCCATTTACTTGTCATACTGTTCACAGGAACAATACAGTCTTTTTGCCTCATTTGTTCAAATGTGTTGCATTTGTTCCTTACTGTAATTGATGAAGGAGTAATCATATTTTCAGACACATTTATTCGTATTTGTGCATCATTTAAATGGCTTCACTTGCTCTTTCTTTCCACTGAAGGACGATTTCTTTGCTTGTGTCAACAGTCTGTTAAGAGTGTGGGGTTGATGTGCGATTAGCCCGAACAATTTAAATGGCCAAGTCATCTCAGTTGATGATGCGCCAGGTGTTTGTTGACTAAATGTTGTTGGATCTGATCTCATAGTTCCGCAAATCAGAGTGCCTTATCTCTCCTTTTATTAGGATGGTGAAGTCATTGGTATAAACACCATTAAGGTTACCGCTGGCATCTCCTTTGCAATTCCGTCTGATCGTGTGAGGCTTTTTCTGGAGAAAGCAGCCAAAAGAAAAAGTAAGAAAACGATCAAGAATCAAAAGCAATGCATCGCATCTTTTTATGTGGCTTTCTACCTCATGGTGTTATAAAAAATATGTTAGAAAACCTGCAGTCTTTCATGAAGTTCACACATCTTTTCTCACCTCTCCCAGGCACTTGGTTTCATAAGGATGAGACGAAGCAGCGGTACATTGGTGTTATAATGCTGACACTGACGCAGAGGTAAATGTAGCGAGCGATGCCCCGTTAGAGCAGCAGTGCGCAGTGTTTGATCTAAAACAAGGTGTTTTCTGTGTGTTCCTTTAGGATCATTGCTGAGCTGAGGTTGAGAGACTCATCTTTTCCAGATGTGACTCACGGTATCCTGATTCACAGGGTAATCAAGGGCTCTCCAGCTTACAGGTAAGCATAAAGGATGCTTCTTCTTTCAGCTCCTCAAGTTCAGCAACTTATATTGAGGTTGCTTTAATCTAATACATGTGTTTGTGGTTGTAATTAAGATGCAGGCATATGTGAGATGTTTGTACAGACTTATAGTGACTTGGTGCACACAGAATAAATTTTTACTTTTGTCATTATTGCTGTATTAAGGGGGATTTACAGTGGCCCTGAGGGTTCAAATGCATAGCAACTTAAGAAAGCACCAGGAAATAGATGAAAAACACAAAGTCGAAGTTGAATGAAACACAGTAAATGTAGACAAAAAAAATCTCACAAAACACAATGTTTTTGGGGACACAATGTGACGGACAACTGCAGAAGTGATAGAAACCAAAACGTGCGAAGGATTGCACTGAGACATCAGGATTCATCTGTGTGAAGAAAAGGCAAAGTTATGTGTGTGTTAATAGCAGGATTCATAACTGTAGAGGGTCTTTTTGTTTTTAAAGCTGTAGATATACGTTATACGTTTGTTTTTGTTGGTATATAATTGTCGTATGTCTTGTTTCAGAGCTGGCATGCAAGCCGGAGACATTGTGCTGGAGATAAACGGGGCCAAGGTGAACACCTCAGAGGAGATCTATGAGGCCGTCCGCAGCAGCGACAAAATCACTATGCAGGTGCAGCGAGGACAAGAGATACTCCACCTTCACATAACTCCCGATTATATAGATTAATGCAAACTGCATTATTTCATGTCAGCCGCTGGACAGAATGAGTTGTTAGCTTGTGTACACCAGAAAACTGTGAAACCTTACAGTGACTGTGTTCAAAAGAAAATGTTTGCCGTTTAATAAATTAGATTTTATGTAAAAGTTTTCTTATATTCTCCAGTATTTCACTAACATTTGGAGAGGTGTCAGCTTACAGTGAACGTGTAGGCATTTTAGCCATAGTAAGTGTTACCTGTTTAAAACTACACTGGTGCAGTCTTCATGGTGCCATTTTTCATTAAATGATAAAAGCCATGCTCACTGTTTATTCACGGAGGGGTTCTTAGTGAATTCTACCTCTTCTTTCTTACTTATTGCTCAGAGTAGCCAAACTTGTGTCTCTTGTAATGATTTGTGTCCAAAATGCATTATTTGTAAAATAAAAGCTCACGGAGCCTGAGAGGGTGCACTTTATTAAAGCCATTTAATGTTGTTAGGACAGCAAAAGGAAGCAAGAGAGACCCAACACTATGGCAAGGATGAATGGTATTAAACTGACTACCATTACATGAGCACAGAAGTCACAAATGTTGCCGCTATGATGATGATGATGATGATGAGAGTAACATATGAAGTCGCACTGATTTAAAGTATGTCACACACAGTAAAGACCAAAAAGGAAAAAATGACATGAATTCAATTCATGAATGTTTAAAATGCCAATTCTGCATGAGAAGTAAACGTGAGGAGGTTATTCAGATTTCATTGAGCACTCTGAAGCCATAATGAGCAAAATAAAATTTCCCTGGTATATGTACAGTAACACACACTTACAGTAAAGTAATAAAGTGACATGTACTGGACTGCTACACAATTTCATGTATTAACCTCAAAGACTGATAGCTAATAAATTGAGATAACATTTATTAAACAATATTTTAAACAATATATTCATACTTCTGGACTAAAGACATCTTATTAGGTACGAGTACTACAACATACAAGTATGGGAGGAAAAATACAATTGTTCAAACCCCATTAAAACTACTTTAAAAAGGCTTAATATATATTGCTGGTAATATTTTTTCTTTTTAAGAAAATATAAATTGTGCGACTGAAGCTTACAATACACTGCTGGCAGTGGCGCCAGATTCTGTGGTGACCAGCTGGGAATGGGTCATCCGTCAAGGCGCCGTGTGCTGAGAAACTCCCAGGAAGAGAGGGAAAGCAGAAAAAACTAACCAAGAAAGGACAGCTGGACATCACGCGATGCCTGAATCGCTCGCACTTAAACCCAATTGCTGCTATGGTGTTTGTCACGGTGGAATGCTGCAAATATCACAAGATGTGCACAAACAGCAGCCAAACTATAATAAACTCATACAGATACATAAATAAGTGGGGGTGGGAGGTCTTGGAAACGTGTGTTTGTGTTTTGGAGGGGGCGTTGGGGGTTTGGTTGACAATGTGAGGAACAAATTGTAGTGTCCAGTCTAGTCCAGCAGTGAGCAGGCTAAATATTGACTCAGTTGATGTGGTCCAAAGCACGAAGCAGCTCCTCTCCCTGCAGTAAGTACTGACCCTGTAAGGGTGCGTTCACCTCGCAGTCGTCGCGGGTGAGGAGCGGCAGGCCGAAGGAGGAACTGGTGGCCTCTGAAGTGCTGCCAAGCAGGCGACTCGCCAAATCTAAGATCGGAAAAGATCCAGTTGAATCTCTGATGTTCAATTTCAAGTAACACAGTAACACTACTTACAAAAAAGAACTAGTTTATTCACCTGAAGACAGCAGAACGATGGTCCTGGTTGTACCAGACCCTGAAGGCTTCAGCTTTTTGCCCTTTTCAACCTGCTGCTGGAGCGAAGTTCCCTGAAAAATAAATAAATAAATACATAAATAAATAAATAAAGACGGTCCCATATCCAGAAGTCAGATTATACCGACTATGCGTATGTGCTGAGGACTAACCTGTTCTATAATCTCTTTTAGGTCACTAATTTTTCTTTTGCGCTGTGCATTCTGAACTGCGAGGGTCCTCAGCGGCATCTCTTTCTCCAAATGTGGGGCTCTGCAGCACACAAAAAGTAGGCCTTAACTATCCTCTAAAAAAGGCCATAAAAATGTAATTTGGCCAAAAAAATTAAAACGTTTAAGAGATGTTACCCATTTGCCAAGATGGTGGGAGGATGAGGAGCATCTACAGGCTCCACAGGTGGTGCTGGGGAAGCTGTGCGACTGCCTGGCGCACTGAAGGGGGAGCTGGGATAGCTGTGGATTGGAGTACTCTCAAGGGACTTGACTGATCCACAAGACAAAGGCTCTCCTGGGGGCAGGCTGAGCAGCTGGAAATCATCATCCATGGGAATGTATGGAGCTAACATCTCCAGATCAAAGTCCTCAGTTTCCTTATGAGGAAACAAAAAATGAAATGGATAAGAATACAGAAAACTCTGGTGTTTATGTGATTCATGACTAACTTAATTTAAAAAAAAAAGTAAAAAGTGATGCTTTTTCTAGATTTACTACCTGTGTGTTGAAGGGTGTTTTGGGCTCTGTATCAATAGCAAACAGCTTCTCAACCAAGTCTAGCTTGAAGTCCGAGTTCATCTCTGAATCCATGGGGAAGCAGAAGTCCAGTGGACTGCCGGGCTAAAAAGAAGAGAAGTCAAAGGTCATTTTTTTCCAATAGATATTACTGAGTGGTTAAAAATATTAACTGTCAATGTCGTATGTTGACAACAAAATAGTAAGTCAGTTTTACCGCTGGGGGCCTGTGGCTGGTTGTGGTAGTAGACTGGGCTGGAGCATAGCTCTCAGACTTTGAATCTTCAGAGTTAGTGCTGGAAACATCCAGAGGCTCACTGGGTGGCAGAGGGGAAAGAGGCAGAACCAGCTTGTCATCTGTGGAGGGAAGCATTACATCGTTGTAGAGAGGGACATCCTTCAGAAGATGGATATCTGATTCTGTACCTGAGGGTAGACAAAGGTCAGAATCGTTTCATTTAGCAAGAAATAAACCAAGTTATGCTGTTTAAAGAAGTTTAAGTATGTTTAGTCGGGTACTAACCGGGGCAGCTGAAGTGCAGGGAGACGATCGTGTCTCCGGCAGCTGGTGCCAGCATGGTGAGGGCTTCAGGCTCTCCCTTTAGGTGGTCATACAGGTTAATCGGCAGCTGGGTGACTGCCGAATCAGTAAGGATTTTGAGTATGTTCATCTTTGGGCTTTTCACCACCTCCTCCTCCTTCGGCACTTCCTCCTCCTTCTCCAGTTCAGCCTTCTTTGGCTGGACTGGAGAGAGCTCGACCTGGCTGATCTCGACTACAAGCTGGTCTTCCTCCTGCTGTTCCTCCTTTACCGGCTTCACATCTGCGGTCTGCTTCACTGACAAGATCAGTTTCTCCTCCTGGATGCCACTACAACAGAGGAAGGACACGATGAAATTATGCTGCTGTAAAATTACTACCAGTGTATCTCAAGTAAAAAGATAATCCTAACCCTTACCTAAGGGTAAGGGTTAGGATTATTGTGTTTCCTCTGAAAGAATGACTTCAGTGAGACTTCAGTGTACCTGAGCACGAAGTTGACACAGACAACACACTGTGGCTGGGAGTTCTTGTTGTTGTAAATGACAGTGGCCTGTGTTTCCACCCACACGAAGCCTCCTTTCTTAGCCAACATTCGGTACTGGCCTGTGCAGACTTGGCCCTTTGCAAACACTAAAAACATCAGGGGGGAAAAAAAAAATTTAGTTAGGCAAAATTAAACGGCTAACATCTGTTTTAAACTTTTAAATCCAATTATGTTTAACATTTTTGTTTATGCTTACAGTTTTGGTGGGTCTTGGTAAGGTGGTCTGAATCCAGAGCATGGTAGTACTCATACACAGAACGATCCAACAGGTCCTCTGGATCATAACCCATGAGATCAGTGATCCTAGAGAAACAAACAATTTATTTAGATTGAATTCTGTAGTACCTACACTGAGCACTAGATGGCTCTGTGTCACTACACTACAATAGATAGAGCGACGCTGATGAACGGCAATAGCGAGAACATAGGTTTAAGGAGCTGATTTAGATTTGATCCCTGTATCTTAAGCATATAAGACTTACTCCCACTGGCAAACTAACCTCTCATCACAGTACGTGAACTTCATGTCCATCGTGTGGCGGCTGAGGAAGGTCTTGGTGTCCAGAGGGACCTCAATGTTGGAGGGGTGTGGGATTGGATCGCAGATCAAAACCAGGTAGGGCACAGGTGGCTCCTTTTGCCCGTTGGTGCCCTCTTCGTCCGGGCTGTCATAAACGCGCACGTGACCTGTGCAGTGAAGCACCTGCAGGAGGACAACAGTTGTGTGATGATTATGGGATGTACTTTTGTATTTTGTGTGACCACAACATATTTTTTTTTACTTTCAGTCCTTTGACATAATCTGTAAATGAGAAGCATTGCAAATTTAAGTATGTTCATTTCCTTCACACAGTAACATTGTCTGCCATAACTCAATGTAGTTTGCATCATTCACTTTTATGGATGCAAACTAGTTTTCAAACACACTGATCATAAGCTACGCTGACTTTATTCTCCCTCAGTCATCAGCACCTACAAAAATGACATCACGTGGACAGCTGCTTACTAGTCTTGTTTTCATCACTCCTCCCTGCTCTTTAGCCCACAATAGCTGTCATCACGTGGCTTTATTATTGCCAACAGCACAGTGGTCCAGCTCAAAGGAGGCCAGGCTTTATTAAAATGTTCTGTGAAATGTGATTGACTCAGCCAGCAGCCGTGGTGTTGACAAACCGAGATGAACAACGCACATTGGAAACGGCAACACAAATAAATATATTATCACTTATTACATTACTGCTTCTGATGGCAGGTCTGCGAGTGTGTTCCCACCACAGCCTACCTTCCATGTAGCAGATTTGACGTTGACAGTGCGGCCCCTGCTCGTGAGGGTGCACTTCATCCGCAGAAAGAAGCTACGCTCTGTATTTGGCTCCTTGGATTTCTTGGAGCCTGAAATCACAGAAGCAGGAATAATGGAGCCACAATTACAAAAGGGGGGAAGCTGCTTCTTACATGCTGTTTCAATGGTGACCACTTCCATTTATTACTGCCTCTATTTTAAATCTTCATATTTCAGTGTTGGGCAACTGCCAATTTGCATACAGGAGACACCAGGGTGCAAAAGTGGTTGCTGCAACGCTACCAGCCGTTATAAGTGCACATACCATCAGTGTGCAGTGAGTCCAAATCCAAGCAGTACAGAACCACGTGTGGGTTCCAATTAGACCTACTGTTAACAAATTACCAGTCACACCAATGTTATGAACCACAGGTGTAAGCACAATTTGTGATACACCACAATCACAAAACTATAAGCTGACATGACCTCATTGATCGTGCTGACCTCGTGACTAGATAGAGGAAATGATCAATTGTTCTCACAGCTTCT